TTCACATGTTGTAGCACATTTTCCAATTTTATGTGATTGGTTACGAGTTGTTGAACATGTGGAACCCGGTCTCTGTACTCGTTTTTACCTAAGAACACCTTGAGCAGTGGGCTCCACTTCAAGCTCTGATTCACGAAAACACGATGTGTAAATCATTAGGAGAAAATGATGCGAGGGGGAGAGACGGAATGTATATATATACCACATGTTATCCACTTACCATTGTTGTTCAAATACCACATATTTTCCTCGTTCTGGTTTGTCCAAATGATATTTGCCGCAAACGTGAACACAGTGAGAAACAGGAGCACACCGAACAGGAAAAGGATCTGTGATGAACCAAGCGGATTAACGTGTCACACACAAAAAAGGGAAAAAAACCTACGTAAGTGTTCGTTTGCAGTTCGACCGAGGACCGTTTGAGTGGTGGAGATGTTGAATTCAGCATTACTTTGGACTCCCGTCCGGTGTAGACAGCCAGTCCTAGCAGAAAGCAAAGCGAGGATGAGAAATGGCATGCTGACTTAGTCTTTTTGGGATGCAAATCGGATTTCACCGGTAAGTGCTCTCCGGCAAAACCGGATATTTTAAATTTTGATAAAGCTTAGTGTGATGAACCGCAGACAGAGTGAATACTCGTAGTCAAGTAGACCTGCTGTTATTCAGTGATGGAAACTGTTAACCTAAGTACCACGAGACTTGAAGCGGCGAACCACATAACGCCCCGCTAGGTATTGAACTGGACAACAGCTAAGCTACCACCAAAGTTGAGTGGCGGTGATGGGTCTCGAACATCGGACCATAGGGTCCCAAGCATGACAGCGACTAAATCACTTCGTTATCACCACTACTTCTAATGAACAAAATGAACTTCTTGTCAACAACGACAACTGGTAGTATAGAAGCCACTGTTTCCACAGATTGTCTCTAGCTATCCAATAATTGTCAAAATGGATCTCTTAGAACATTCGTCGATATCTTTCTTACATGGAAATGAAACAAAGTAGCCTTGACACAGTCGTCTCGGAGTGAACTACTTCGTTCACTGTATATAATCACTCAGCCATGTCTGTGTTCAATAACATAATCAGATATAAGTAGACCAAACAAGATATCAAGATTAGCGAGGTCCATGGCGCTCAGAAAAATGGATATTGTGAATTGGTACAACTACTGGTCTGATCTGAATGTGGTCATGGACTTCCAACACATTCCCACGGATGTTTAGACGAATGTGACCGCTTAGTGGGTTCGTGGAGAAAAATATGACACAATGACAGACTAAGCAGGACGTGTTGCTCACCAAAGATCCATTTTGTGTTTTTCAATGTAGCGCCTCGGAGGATCAGTTGGTTCGGTTTTAACGGATAGCCACTAGAAAATTTGGGACGTAAACAAAAGAGATGGTTACTGAAAGTATTTGGGGCACGGAACAACACATCGGCAAATTATTCTCATCGGAAAAGTGATAGCAGTTCACCGGTATTTTTAGTCATAAAAGAAGTAAATTTGTATTTGTTGAAACCGGAAACGTATCGATAGTGCTGTGAAATATCACTCACATTAGTGAGTAGCATGCAAAATAGTGCGGTTGGCGGTCTCCTTCAACGATCAAAAATTAACAAGAACACTGAAGGCGATTGGCTGTGCCTCAAAGAAAAACCACGGACTGCTCCATTTATTACCCGGTGTGCTGCCGGGAATTGCGACAATATGATTCAAATGAGATATCGTATTATATGTATGCCAAATGATGGATATCCCAAATATAATGTATAGTAAACAACCATCTTGAACCAGGCGCCGCTCTGTGTAATTATAACAGTAGGAGAGGCGAATGCCCGAACCACAAGACTAGGAACTGTGGGTCATTAAAAAAACCGAGTGATGTAGTCTTCAGCGAATTGGAGAGCAGAAGGTATTACTAAAGGTTCCGATAAGGAATTGGATAAATACTTTTTTTATTACACATATAAGTGTGATGAACGGCAGATGGGATAAACCCGTTCGAGGACCTGCTATTCAGTGGTGGAAACCGGCAACCTAAGCCCCGGGACTTGGAGTGGCGAACCACATAAGGCCTCGTGGGTGAGACGTGAAATTGAGTCGGATGACAGTAAAGCTGCCTACCACCAAAGTTGGGTGGCGAAGTTCGAACTTTTAACAGGATCGAAAGCACGCCAGTGACAGTGACTAAACCACTGCCCAACCACCACCCCGGCTAGCACATTACTTGAGCCCTGAATCACACTGGAGGTTATTGACGGATTTTTCTGTCATACAGCCTTGCACTGCGTCGTACTTTTGAAATTTCTAGTGCAACTCAACACAGTTAGATAAACTTGTGTACTGCTAGTATGATGCATATAGGACCGGCTTGAGAACAAGCTTGAGGCCAATGCAACACAGGAATTATCAAAGTAAACACGTACATGTCGTCACGAATCAGAAGAGTGCCCACAAACTCGTCCAGCTTCCTGTTGGGTAGTTGACATTCAACGTGACCGGCAAAGGCGCTCAATGCCTCAGCTGTTAGTAGATGACTTGTTTGCGATAGACCCTGTGGGATGATGTGAACGGAACAACAGCACGACCAGATCAGTGCATGTGAATCAAAAAGAGTGATGTAATGTGGGAAAAGATAGAGTGATGAATGCAATGCCTATACAGCCTATACATCAAAAGGACTACTACTATATCGTGGGGATGGAGCAGGCTTAGTCGCTGTACTCTAGCAACTCAAATGAATGAATACACAAACTCCAAGAAATTCCATACTATACATGCGACCACACAGATCAATTGGAATCACGTTGCCCGTTGCATCGAGCTCAGTGGGTACTGGTGTTGTGAATTACTACTCACATTTGTGAGTGGTTTGTGCACATCAAGAAGCGGTCGTTGGAATTGCAAGGGATTCGCGAGTGGATTAAAGGATTTGCTGAAGATACAAACGGACTATCAATCGCCGATGACGGTCAGACGGTCAGGAAAATACTAACCAAATGTTGAAAATTAGATTTTTCGTTCTGTGTAACCTTATTTACCCTTTGTCGATGCTGTTCCCCACTTAAATAACTGTCCTCGACCCGGAACTGGCTCTTTGGAATTACAACACTACTAACTGAGCTACTGTTTGTTTATCTGCCCTAGATTCCCCAAACCTGCACCAAGTATTGTACATGCTCGATCGATGTCGACCATAGAGGTTCGCTTTCTTTTCCCTCCCTCAAAACAAGTTCGCCTTGTATCCACTTTACACTGTGACCCTGACAGCCATTGGCGAGGTTTGCTTCACTGTATTTCGCTGTATGAAGATGAAGATTCTCAAACATTTATCTCGAAAAGCAGAGAACTAATTAGTCTTTACCTGCATGTTCCTCCATATATTCACTGGGGGGGACCTCTTGGTTATGTGGTATACATTGTTTGCTGTAAACCACTTTATGCGATGAGTTTATTGCCTAAACTGTGCAACCGTCTGTCTGAAATTACAGATCGATTCGCAATAGGGCAAGTCATTTTTGTGGTAGATATTGGTATCACAGATTTAGTGTACCAGAAACATCAAACAAAAGGCTACAAGGCTACAGTGAAGGATAAAAATAAAAATGAAAATTCATTTTCACCTGGCGTAATTTGAGATTAGTTTCTCCATCCAAATTACTTGTCTCAATGTAACACATCGCCTGTGGTTCGCTGGAAGCCAATAGAACAAGATCGGCTGGAATTCCTTGGTTGTTGCAAACTTTGACCAAGTCTCCAACTTGAAGATCTTTCCACAAGATTTCTACCCAATCACGACCACGGAGGACTGTAATGAAAGGATGTATGATACATAAGAAAAAATTAAAATGTCCTGGGTTCCATTTTTTATTTCACTTGGTTTCGTGATGGTAAAGTTCTGACTTCGTCCGTAAAGCAAGCGCAATCGGAAAACACATCCAAAATGATTGATACACTGTGTTACGAGTTTGAAAGACTGGATACGAGCTAAAGTACCAAATTGTCATTGCTTACAATACCTCGTCACTTTCAAATTCTCCTTTGTTTTGATTGGAGTTTTCGAGCCTAGTGGCGAAAATTACAGCAACAACTGCATGAGTAGCTCATGCATGCTTCCTGAAAGGAAGCTCGCGATTGCGTCTACAAAAGACAGAGTTAGGACTTACTGCTTATTCATGATAAGAAGCAAGCTAAGCAGTAGAGTTGTGTACGGTGGATCTAACCAGGTATCAATAGGATAGGTGCGGTATTGAGCTGGACGACGGCAAAGGCACCAAAGTTGGGTGTCTGTGGAAAGGTCCGAACCCCAAGCTTAAAGGTTCCAAGAACACCAATGGTAGAAAATTATGGTGCGTGATTCAACTGCGGTGCTACTTTTCGCTGTTTGTGAGGAGTGCCTTCCTTACGTACTGGGTTTGAACAGCGGAAACATAGTTGTAATTTTAGAGTCTTGTCATCTAAATGCACCAAAAATCAAAGATTATCAGGGTTGACACTTATTTTAGAAGCGATTTCATCTTCACGAAGGGATGAGGTAGAATGGGCCTGCTTTCGGGTGATGAGCTGTGAGCTATGAAGTGTGGAAAAGATATTGAGCTACGGAGTCAAGATAGGAGGAAAACATTCACATCTTGGAAGATTATAACTATAGAAGTATTGGTAGTTTCTCTGTTTGTTGTCCTTTCAACACTGAGTGAAAACCATCACTGTTCCCAAACCAGATGGTTGGAAGATAACTACAGTTTATCGCTTTTCCTACCTAGGTAATTACATCAGGTAAACACGTGACAGCGGGTATACTAAGGCTTGAGCCGAGGACGCAGAACTAAAACACATGCTAATACCGTAATTCTTCCTTGAAATCAAAACGACGTGTATACTGTGCTGCTGTACGGTTAGTTTTACTTTACGACTAAGTTTGTGTGTGTGTGTGTGTAGAAGACATCCGTAAGCTGTAAGTCTTCGACCAGCGATGTTCGCATGGTTTAGCGCAAGCAGGATGGAGCGAGCATACAAATGATAACGAGAGCCATCGTGCTTTTAAGAATCTTTCCGTAGAAAATTTATTGTTTTATCGAATTTGCACTGGTAGACTGTACTGATTAGAACAAGTGCGATGAACGCTACAGCGCTGTGCCTGAATGGCCGTTGCTGCACCAGCGCCCAAAAAGCCACAGGGAGACAAGGCATAAAGAAATGTACCGTAAGGTTCGGTAAAGTAGGTGTCCCCCGTTCCCGTGAAAAGTTTTTTTCTAATCGGTTGGCTGGTAACCCTGAAGGATATGGTGGCAAACAGACAACAGTGGAGTTCTTGTAGTCAGAAAGCTTTAAATGTTGCGTAAGCTCCGTGTTGACCAACAAAGGTTTGCCGTCATTTCTTTCCTTCATTCTTTATGAGCCTTGGATATTCAATGATCTGGGTTGCATAACTAGAAAAATTCTAGTTTCAGTCATCTCCTTGAGCGAAAAGCAGACAACTTCTGACACTCCAACAACTAGATCACTCTTGATGAACGAAATTTGGGTAAAGCGAGATCACGTTCGGTGTTCAATAACTTGGGACATATTTAGCTCCACCGCGAGATTCGCCTGTCTGCAAAAAGGTCGGAACCACACAGCGAATACAATACGAAGAAATAGAAAAGCATAAGGATCGATTTAATTGGTTTCTAATCGACGTCCTTTTAGCTCGTGTTTAATTGCCCGCCCAGCAACAACTCACATATATCAGGGAAATCCACAAGGGCAATGTAAGAAGTTGAGTTATGAGCTAATTATGGGTCCTTGCTAGAAAGCTGATAAATTAGGAAATACAACGATCAAAATGTCATACAAACAGAACTCTTAGTTGACAATATTTTCAGTGCAGGAAATGTGGTTATTGTAAAATCAGTGGTCACCAAAACACAAAATTATACTGGGGAAGGAAGGATTCAATCCCTGTGTTTATTTCATATTTCACACTTGTCTGGGAAGAGACTGTGTGCCAAACAAATCATGGTACAATAATCTTTATAAAAGGGAAATGCTCCATGATTGGCTTATGGGCTGAGTACTGCCAGGTTGCCCAGGCCAAGGCAGGTGAATTTTCTTGAGGAATCCACAACCGGAGTCTTCGGCTAGCCAAAGCCTGACCGGCAAGGCAGCGGGGCGGTGTGTGAACACCGAAATCCATTGGGAGCCGGTGTCCAGTTCATCGGATCATACGTCCTTCGGACGGGGTCAGACGTCCAAGGTGCCTGATACACCTCGATGCCCAATCGAGCCGGTGACCACTGCCACAACCGAAAAGGTGTGGGTGTGGTTCGTACGCCTCCTCACGGTTTGGAATCAGGGTTTTTGGCCGTCTTCCTAGGCGAACTACCAGTGGTCCAAACACCCGGTCACCGGATGTCGGCTCTTTGTCCTCTCACTTTGGTGGTGAAACATCGCTACGAGAACGCAGTGTGTAGAGGTTCCTCAGTAGAGGCTATTCAAGACGCTTGGTTGTATGGGAGCATTTGTTGAGATGCAAGGAAAGGATGACCGATCACAACCCTAGACACACCAATCCGAAGCATACTGAGGCTTCCGGAGGTTTGACCATGCGAACAGTGATAGGCTACCCAGTCGAGGTTATCCGGACTGGCATTTTTACTAAACACCTTAATGTGATGTACAACAGACGGGGCCCCACAGTAACGGAGGCTTGTTGTTCAATGATGGAAACCGACAACCCAAGCAACGGTACTTGGAGTGGTGATTTACATAAGGCTCCTTTGGGTTAGGCGTGATATTGAACCGGACAACAGCAAAGCTGCCTGCCAACAAAGTTGGGTGGTGGTGGTGGTGGAGGGGCTCAAACCTCGGACCACAGACCAAAGTAAGCGAACCATTTCGCCGCCACCACCCGATCAATGGTTGGGGATAGATAGTGATGAAGTTGAGCATAGGTAAGTTCGCGAATCTTCTCGATCACTAGATACAACTTGATTCACTATATTTCATTTCACGGGGCAAACTCTCGAAACTATTCCTTCAATAATGAGCTGCTTGAAGTGCATTCAAAACTGGATTACAGAGTTGAAAATTGTAATTATTTGACGTCCTAGTTTACGACTGCGGTTGGTAAATGAATGCTACTAGTCAATGTATCAAACGATAACTTTAACCCAACGAATTTCAATAATAAGCAAAATGCCGTTAATCAAATTGGTGACTATTGAACGCCAATAAACGCCAAACGTAACAGAAAAAATTATGGGATAACTGCTCAGCAGGTGTGAAAAGCTAACTATTAATGACTGATTGACATAAATAAATGAGTCTTATCTGCGACAGCTTTCCAAAAAGGAAGAAATTTTCTCTCTTGTCTTTCTGCAACCAACTTCTGGTTCGCGAGATAAACCTGTACCCGTTCTCCACATACAGGAAGTGATTCACAGCATAAAAGTGAAACTCGATGGTAAACGACAGTGCATTTTTTCCTTTCGTCCGGTACAATACCATGTCTGACTTAGCGGGGCCGCTCCACGTACCGAGGCTTAGGTTGCCGGTAACGATCATCCGGTAACGGGTCCGCTCCCTCTGCAGCTTTATCACACAATGCTGTGTAATAAAACAAATACAGAAAGCTCTTGAGGAAAACGTTCAACTACGAACCAGTTTGTTGATCAAACTTTATAACGATTGGGTACATAGAACAAGGAAGGCAGTTAAAAGTTTTCCAGTCAGGGAAAAAGACAGAAGTGTAGTATATGGGGTCGAACCTGATGAGGGTAACTGGCCACCAGTCATCGATAGAGTCAAAATAACATGGCGAGGCAAACCACCGAGGAGAGGTAGTGAACGTGCTGTCCGGTGATGGTAGAAAGAATCAAAAGTTTATACTTGATGCGTTTCCGTTCGCATGGAAGGATCGACAATACGTTGAGGCAGATCAAAGAGAAAGTAATGGCAAACGACGAAAGCGTAAGATGAAAAAAGTAGATAAAATTAGCCGTCATGTAGTCATTTGCATTACCCCAATTGGTAATCTTCTCAACACAAATACCTCCCAACAATTATAACATTTGAAAGTGTGCAGTTATCAGTTTCCTAATACGTATCCTTCGTTAGGAAAACTTTTGGTCGTATTACTTGTGATTATAAGGTTAACCTTATTGTGGATATATCCAACTGTGCACCAGGGACCAGTAAAGCGCGTGCTCACTGCTAAAGATAAGCGGGGGATACTTTTTTTACGAAAGCTAACTCTAGTGGAAGTTGAAATTACAAACAAGGGATTTGAAAGCTTCTATAAAATATACAAAATTTCATCAACATTACATTTCAAAGTCGTTCTCACCTTTTGTTTTGCTGTTGTTTGTGGCATCATCTGCACGATGTCGTTTCTTAAGAAATACATAAGATGACCAAACATTTCACTTACAAAATCTTCTATCATTTCCTTGACGGCGGACACGGTAAGTATGATAAGCAACGGAACCAATGTAGTGAATCTTCCGGTAGGGGATACACCAGGGATTTGCTGCAAGTAAACGAAATATTCTTAAATGGCTCTTACCTGAAGTAGAGCTATTACAAGGAAAAATATGTTCGCATAACGCCGGAATTGCTCGTAGATGAATTTGGGGAAAAATGTAACAACACTGTACTTCGCAGTGCTATACAAATAAATATTATGATTAGGTTATCACCTAAACGAGGAATTCACCTGATTTCATTTCTGCAGTAACTGGATACTTGGGGGGAATTGATATTAATAATACGGGATCCATGTTCATTCAGAGAAGCATCTAGTTTTCTCTTCATACTGTGACTATCTCAACCACTATTTCGCAAAAATCACAGGTGAAGGGTCAACATGAAAAATTTCAAAAAAACGCCGCTTTTAGTACGGTTCAGTTCAGTTCAGTTCAGTTCAGGTCAGGTCAGATCAGGTTAAGTTGCACATGTCAGGGAGTGCACTAGGTACAGAGATGGAGATAGGCCGTCTTTACTGGACCTCAT